CATCCACACATCCATGCATCCATCTATCTATCCATCCATGGATCGATGGATCCATCCATCCATCGATGGATCCATCCATCCATGGATCCATCCATTCATCCATCCATCCATCCATCCATAGATCCATCCATGCATCCATCCATTCATCCATGGATTCATCCATCAATCGATGGATCAATCCATGGATCCATCCATCCATCCATGGATTCATCCATCCATCCATCCATCCATTCATCCACCCATGGATCCATCCATCCATCCATCAAACCATCCATCCATCAATCTATCCAATCATCCATGGATTCATCCATCCATCCATCCATGGATCCATCCATCCATCAATCCATCCATGGATCCATCCATCCATCCATCCATGGTTCCATCCATTCATCCATCCATCCGTCCGTCCATCCATCCATCCATCCATCCATCCATCCATCCATCCGTCCATCCGTCTGTCCATCCGTCCATCCATCCGTCCATCCGTCCGTCCGTCGATCCGTCCGTCCGTCCTCCGTCTGTCCGTCCCTCCGTCCGTCCCTCCGTCCGTCCCACCGTCCGGCCCTCCGTCCGTCCCTCCCTCCGTCCCTCCCTCCGTCCCTCCATCCCTCCATCCATCCAGTCATCCATCCATCCGTCTATCCGTCCATCCGTCCATCCGTCCACGCGTCCATCCGTCCATTCGTCCATCCGTCCATTTGTCCATGCATCCATCCATCCATCCATCGGTCCATTCATCCATCCATCCGTCCATCCATCCGTCCGTCGGTCCATCCGTCCATCCGTCCATCTGTCCATCCGTCCATCCATTCATCCGTCCATCCGTCCATCCGCCCATCCGTCCATCCATGGATCCGTCCATCCGTTCGTCCATCCGTTCGTTCATCCATCCGTTCATCCATCCGTCCATCCGTCCGTCCGTCCGTCCATCCATCCGTCCGTCCGTGCGGTCATCCGTCCGTCCGTCCATCTGTCCGTCTGTCCATCCATCAGTCCATCCCTCCGTCCGTCCATCCATCCGTTCATCCATCCATCCATCCATCCGTCCATCCATCCGTCCATCCATTCATCCGTCCATCTATCCATCCGTCCGTCCATCCATCCGTCCGTCCATCCGTCCATCCATCCATCCATCCGTCCGTCCGTTCGTCCATCCATCCGTCCGTCCGTCCATCCATCCGTCCGTCCGGCCATCCGTCCATCCGTCCGTCCGTTCGTCCAGCCGTCCATCTGTCAGTCCATCCGCCCGTCCGTCCGTCCGTCCGTCCATCCGTCCGTCCATCAGTCCGTTCGTCCGTCCATCCATTCATTCATCCATCCATCCCTCCATCCGTCCATGTGTCCATCCATCCGTCCGTCCGTCCGTCCATCCATCTGTGCGTGCGTCCGTCCGTCCGTCCGTTCGACCGTCCGTCCATCCGTCCGTCCGTCCGTCCGTCTGTCCGTCCGCCCGTCCATCCCTCCATCCATCCGTCCATCCCCCCGTCCATCCCTCCGTCCATCCCTCTGTCCATCCCTTCGTCCATCCGTCCATCCATCTGTCCATCCATCCGTCCATCCATCCATCCGTCCCTCCGTCCGTTCATCCCTCCGTCCCTCTATCCGTCGATCCCTCCGTCCGTCCATCCATCCCTCCATCCCTCCGTMCATCCATCCCTTCGTCCGTCCATCCATCCCTCCATCCGTCCATCCATCCCTCCGTCCGTCCATCCATCCCTCTGCCCGTCCATCCATCCCTCTGTCCGTCCATCCATGCCTCCGTCCGTCCGTCCATCCCTCCGTCCGTCCATCCATCCCTCCGTCCGTCCATCCATCCCTCCGTCCGTCC